TTAAATTTGTTATGACTGGTCTACAATTGTTATGTCGGAATCGCTTATTACTTATACTTGTAAAATGAGAAACCACTGCGATTCCCACAACGAAAAGTAAAAACAACAAGACTGGTATAAGTGAAGGCTTATTGAACCCCAAACATGACGACGACCCTAATTGAAAATACACTCATTTATATATTGTTTGTAAACTGATTTGATTATTAATTAGGGTGATATTATATATAAAACAAATTATAGAACAAATTACATGCTGCATGTGATACTGAACATAGTCCATGTTAACTTAATACAAGAATAATGTATCCTTGAATAAAAAACCACACACAAATAAATTAATGTTAAACCGAATAAAATATCACACAAGAAAACAGAAACAAATACTACACTGGGTAATTATCACATTGAACTAAAAACAGAAGTAGTGTAGAATAAGAAGTTACAATGAGTAGAAGAATATGATTTTGCCTTTTTCATCTCGTCATTATCAGAAGGTATAATGTACATCAAAAGCATTTACCTCAGCGACCTACCTTATCCAAAATTCTATAGTCTTTACCATATCTGAAAGTTACTTTCATATTAAAACTATGTAAGCAAGTGGCTATCAGGACTCAGTAGCTCAGTGGATAACGTGATGGCGTTTTGAGCGAAAGGTACTGGGTTCGAGTTCAAGAATAAACATCAACTCTGTGATGCAGGTACATCCAGCTGACGAGTCCCAAAATAAGACGAAACGTACGTCCTTGATTCCAATGCTAGCCACTATCCATCTTTGCTTACTATGTAATATGATGTATAGAATTTCCACCCAAAATAATGAAAACAAAAAAACAAAAACAAACAGTTTAATAGACAGTTAATTTAAAAATCTACCTTCCCTTCCCCCCAAAAAAATATCACTGCCAAATGTTCAATTTCATTTTTTTTTCTTTGTTTTACTTTTTTTTTCTATACAGATGTTTGCCTATTCTACTAATTAATAACAGTAATATTTATTTGATTAAGTTTTAAATATACATTTACATTCCCTTGAGGCAATTGTATACACCTTTCTTTTCTCACCATCATCATTTATATATTCAAATGAAGAATGGTTATTTGACGTTTTATTTTTATAGTAACATAAATACTAATTTGATCATAAACTAACATACATTTATATATTTTGATATGCCTATCATAAACACTATAGAGCGGTAGATACTTTATTTTTGTAGTGTTAATACTACTACTACTACTACTAATAATAATAATAATAATAATAACAATAATAATAATAATGGTAATAGTAATCAGAACAAAAATAATTACAGTGTTAAGAAAATGTATTCAATCAATTATTTGGGAAAATCAATTTACCTTAAGTTTAAACTATGTATATATAGAGTTTGTTCCTATATTCTTATTTCTTATAATCATCATTCATTTATTCTAGATTATTCTAAATGTTCCATTTAATTCAAGCCGATTTGATTGACTTTTTCATCAAAATTTTTTTTTAATGGGAAATAAGAAATTGTACATTTTTAATATTTAAATAGAGTTAGTACATTAGGTAGTTTGTTTATTCACTACTATATCCACTCAAAATAGCAATTGTGTGTATCTATGACTCATTGTTTCTTATTATATATATATAAAGATGAATTTGTACTATATTTGGACTTTTCAATAATAAAGTACATTACACTATTCAATTTCTTACAATAGTGATAGTGAAAATAGCTATTTGGATGGTTAAACTGTAATACGAATCCATTGAGTGTAGATATATAAAAGATAAGTTGACAACAATCCTATCGTTGAAGTGATATGAATTAGATTTTAATAAAAAAAGGCATGTTAGGAGTAAACAATGTACGGTAGTTATAAAATATGTTAAATCATTGTTAACCGTTTCTTTCTTGAATATATTTACTAATTTTATACAGTTGAAATCATGAGTCAATTGAAGCTAGACCACCATGAAAAACCTGAAAGCACTGGACGACCGTTTCGTCCTATTGTGGGACTCCTCAGCAGTGCGCATCCAATTGAATCATGATCTCAACTATATAAAATCACTAAAATCTCCACAAAACCCCTTTCTAGTATTTACTAATTCTTAAACATATATATGTAGTCTGTACTAATTCAATCAATCCTATGCATCATAATCATTTACTTCTGATGTTACTGATTTATGATACTCAATTCATTTAGTTTTTTTTAGTTTTTCTATTTACATGTTGATAATATAACAGAAATTATAATATTTTAACCTTACTACTTAAATTCATACTTTCACTTGACAAAATTCCATCTAGGATATGGCATTCTTTCTTCCAATGACAAATCTTCACTTGTTTTATCCTTATTTCTCATTTAGATTTTAATATATTAACTATTTTCGAATGTCATTGCCAAACATATACATAGACTTCATGTATATGTAAGGTGAGTTTTATCTCCTCTCGTAACAGTAAAGATCCGAATATACTAAGAAAAGAAACGATTTACCTTCTTCATATTGAATATTTTATCACAATTATATGCATCAAATTCCATGAATTGTTGAACAAATATCTATATATAGTTGAAATCATGAGTCCCACAACAGGACGAAACGGCCGTCCAGTGCTTCCAGGTTTTTCATGGTGGTCTAGCTTCAATTGACTTATGATTTGAACTATTATATATATACATATATATATATATATATATTTATATATATATATATAACCTATATTAACTGTTCTCCATTGATTACTGTCCATTTATACAATAAGATATAAATGGGACAGGTAGATAATGGGCACCAAATGATCAGAAGAAAACAGATTGAAAAAGCTGTTGCTTGAATACATTGTGACAATATGTACCGTCAGTTGTCACTCTAATAGTTTAATGATTGCAAGCTTGCCATTTGATTTATTGATCCAGATTCTTAACGTGGTTGTGTGTCTGTACTCCTGAGGTATTCCATAATAAGTTGAAACAACTGTCTAGTGCTCCTTAATTGCTAATGGTATTTTAAATAAAGTCAGTTTGTAACGAAAATCGTCTAAGAATCAAAATATTCCTATCAAAACAATAGGAGAAACAGTTAATAGAAATAATAACAATATATAGTAAAATTAATTATTATCTGTTTTTATTTGCTTCCTAGAGTTTACTGACTTCGGGAATCAAAATTTTCATCCATTCATCTTTTAAACCATTTAGAATAGACTTATTTGTCGAATTCCTCATATAAATTCTGTACAAGTATGAAGACTAATCTTGAAGAAAAGTTTTAATTTTAACTGAATACATAATATTAGGTAACAGGCCAGAAGACACTTAGTCCTAGCCTTAAAAGTCAACATGTAAAGTCTCTAATTATGACAATGTATGACACTGATTCTAATTATTCCAATTCCAATTTTTTTAGAGTCATAAATATCTCTTAATGATGAGTTGGAAATATCACAAAACCCATATCGAAGTTCACCCAGTGACCACCTACAAGCATTTAATACCATTAAGTAAATAAGCCCAACAGACTAAGAGGTTGTACATATTTAGACAGTATGATATTTATACTGAACCCATACATTTAACTGATTAACATGAAACTGGGTACAATGATGAAACAAATTACTCTTCTATCTCCTTCACTACATAGTTTCATCTAAAATTTTATAATTTTGCTAGACAGTTTCATATGGGAGGATAAAAAATAGACAAAATCATCACTAACATAATTCTTTGACACTATCACGAATATTATCAGAATGGTGGTTTATTGAGATCGTGGTAATTTAATTGTTGGATTCTTGAGTACAGCTCAACCGTATCTGTTTTGAAGCAGTTACTCACTGAAGATAATGGTGGACGGTCGCACAATATCGTGGATTGATTGAAGTTAGACATTAAAACAGTTGGATGCCGTCTAAGTGGTCTACAGGTTAAACGTTTGGGGGCGAGACCGGAGGCCTGGGGTTCGAGCCCCTTTGATGAGGAATTGTGGGTATGTACTCCTGAGGAGTCTCGTACTAGAACGAAATGACCCTCCATTGCTTCCAGGTTTTCATCGATGGTGTAGTTTAGATACACTCATAAACTCAACTATGAAATCACTATTATGAATATTATGTTTTATTGAAGTAATTATAAAATGACACTCTATGTACGATAATGTTTCGTTTGAATACATAAAAGAGGAACACTTTGACACCCGACATTCTTCACACCTGTTGTTAACATGGTAACTAAAATAAGAATATAAAGTATGGATAATTAAAAACGATAATTACTCAGATCTGAACTTTTGTATGTGTGCTTATGAAAGGGATTATTTTTTGAAAGCTCTAATGATTAAATGATTTTCAGACAATAGTTAACTTTTAAAACAAATAAACTAACTTGTACATAATTACTAATTTAGCCTAGAATCTTAGAAAAATATAATAATCTCGTTCTCTTAAACTTTAATAGAAACAGTTTACTGACTGATAAACTTTTTATTGTTTTCAATGCTATTCTAGGTGTGAACTGTGAAATAACTTACCAAAGTGTTCTGTATGTTTGTATACTATAGACTTTGTAAATATGACTTGTTGATCTACTTGTCTGGAGAACGGATTATCAATATCTCAATGGTCTAGACCTACCGTCTACAGAATAACAGGTCAAGGACTTTAAATTACAAATAGATTATTAATATAGTAGTTCCTGAGGCAAAAATTTATTTGTTTAATTATTTGTTCAGTTGGATTAATACCAATATCATAGTTTTATATTTTCATAGCTAAATCGTATTATGATGACATCCTAGGTAGTTGCAACTGATTGAATTTTTATACTAAAATAATGAGGTTGATAAAATCAAGATTTCTGCCCATTTAATCAAACTATTGGGAATAAGTACTTCACTGTTTTTCTTTTTCCATATTGAACAGATGAAGCTTTTAATCTAGGTTTTGTGTTGCTCATCGCTTCTCAGAAAGATGTGTCTGAAAACTATAAAATCGATGTTCATTAGAGATTTAGCTACTTCTCATTTAACATCAGAAACTGAGGTGTACCAAGGTATTTATGTTATAAATGATCACCTATACAATAGACAACAGCTCATTAAGGTAAACGAATCAAAACCTGTTTACAAACGGAAGATATCCAACACATAAAACGTGCAGTTTACTGTTTGATTTATAGGTCACCCGTTATTAATATAATGTTAGTTCTAATCATTGAAGAGGTCACGGATTCATTACTTAGAAAATATTAATTAATTACATTTCACAAACGAGCTTCTTAATGACTTTTATTTATATTGAATTAGGGCTTTAGTAATTAATTATATAGACATTCATAATATAAGAAACGTCCTGAAAAGTTCTTGATTAAAAATAGTAAACTGTAATAGATGAAATGATACTATAAAAAAGTAAGAATATTAACTCTTGAATATGTGGATATCTAATATGTGGAATGAACACATTACAAATCTTGATCAAATCAAATCTGATTTAAAGAGAACAAGTGTAACATACTACTTCGATACTCAATTGATGTCTAATTAAGTAAGACAGTCAAGCAAGCAAGCCAATCAATTCCAATGCGTTTATATATACACTTTGAACGAGGTCCTCTGTGTTGTGACTTTGTAGATAGTGAAAATACAAAACTCACAATTGAAATTCAGTGATAACTTCCTTTATTCTTCTCTAGTATTCCAAATAGAACGAGAAACGTATAAAATTGAATGGTAAATTGTAACGAAACTTTAAATTCAGTGTCATAAATGAACACGATTTCGTGAATATCAAGAAGTTCCTTGACCAACAAACAATCATCACAAATTCTTTAAATTAATACCTTTTTAGAAAAAAATAAAACAACTTCTTATCCATGGTTAGCAGATATGTTCACATAATGATTATATGAAATCTATCTTAACTATGTAATACTAATGTCTTCTTTCATATAAACAATATATTTACAAAGATGTTTTCTGATTGACATAATCAATCTAAAAATTCGTCACGATTATTTTATTATTATTTATTTAAACACATAAACATTGGAACAAGGAGGCACCAAATAAATATACCTCACATAAATCATTCGATTTGTGTGAAGGCTGGGATAATGCCTGAGTGCCTAAACCGAAGCAGGTGGTTTACTCAAAGATCCACACTACGAGCCTATGACCTAAATGTCTGATCCACAAGACAATGAAGAAACGTACGAAGATGTAATCCCATGATAGCTGGTGACCAACAATAGGTTCATACACCATTTGTTCCCTAAGAATTATGGAGCCCATGTGTACCGTTGGTTTGTATTCAGGTTTTTCCAACTCTCCTAGGTGAATTCTTTATATCCACCAACCCGGTTAAATCACTGGACGTTGGCTCGATTTCGTAAACAACACACGAGAAGGCAGTTGGTGGAAGTTCCTCGGCAGTGGTTTTATGTACGTGGTCATGTGAGAGCATTTCGAAAGGGGGAGCTGACTCTTTCACTCTCAGCTGTACCAAGGCATTTGGGGGCTCATCTCTTTATCGTTGTCATATATAATTTATCTCATTGATATTGATTAATTTGTAGTTCTCAGTTGCACATTGCTGAATTGTTTTATAGATATATTCATGAAGTATATTACTTCATGAATATATCTATATGAAGTAAAGTCTTATCAACATAATGGATTAAATTTCGGGTTATTCTGTTCCAATTTTCAACTGCTATTTTGCTACTATATCATTGATGCATAGCTTTTGATTAACTAGATTCTATCATTTAGATAGTATTGCATGAAATGTTTTTTTATCACTATTGACAAATACTTTGAATTTGTGTTTAATGTGTATACAATACACAATGATTTGATTGGCAGATATTTCCAGCCAATTATATATGTCTATCCAAAACTAACAAACAACAAACATATGAGTACAGTTTATAGACATTTTGATTCTGTTTTAGACAGACAGGCGACATACAGTTTACTTCATATATTTTTTTTCATTTAAGAAACTAAGTGTCTTCATAATTTTGCCATTGGATTTTAAGTTTTTCAATTCATCACGGATATCTAAAAGCAAATCTCTGTATTAATCGTTTTATAACTCTGTAGATATTTTTCTGATGGAAAAGTTTTGTGTCTGCCACATTATTAAAGTAACTTCACACTTCACTTTTTTACAGATAAAAAAAATGAGATACTTTTAAAGATATTAATTGCCTATCCCTTTTTATACTTAAATTATGGAGAAAAGAATTTTTATTATCGTTATAGTGGTGGGGATTAGAAAGTCAATAAACTTTAACCAACCTGGTTACACTCCGTATCAAACTTTATATATTTTATGTATGAAAGCATACTACTGGTTTGAATATCGCTAACCTTAAGCAAAAAACACACATTCATATGGCTGTGTATGTCTTATAATATTCCAATTAAGTGAGAGAGAGAAAAAGAAAGATAGAATGACAGGCGTAAAAATTTCCAAAAAAAAATATTTGATGTGGGTGGGCCGATAAATAATAAAAGTCAAATGGAGGGGGAACAAATAAATGAATATTCAAAGTAGCTTTCATTAAATAAATTAATCCCCCTTCGATCACATACATACTACTTGATAAATATATGTAAAAGCAATTAAAAAGGCAATAATAATATAAGATCAGCCGATAACACAATACATTATGAAATAAATTGTTGCCATATTCACTAAATTAAATCACAGGACAGAAAAGAGGAAATATACCGCACATTCTCACACCTTTCATGAATAATAATTATGATGGCAAAAGAAACAAACATCATCTATCTTATTTTGATCAGAAAACTATTCAATAGATGAAGATTAATAATAAATAGAAGTGACGTAACAAATTGTCTGTTATAAAGATGAAGATAAGGCATTTTATTTTGGTTATTTTCAGACCAATTCAACGTATTACACACAGTCAATCATACACTGCCAACGGGTTTTTCAACAGTTTCAACTTATAATCTTTGAAAAGTTGTTTAAAAATCAATCTGCTTATTCTTTTATTCTAGTAAGTAATATTTTTTAGTATTTAATTAACCTTAAATTGGTGATTCATAAGTAGTAGGTTATGTGTAATATGATATATATATATATATTGAATTGTTGTCTACTTCATTCTCTATAAAAGTGTTCTACAGATAAGCGAAACTTCGACGTTAAGTGAATAGGGTTAGTCTAGGTTTCTCATTAGTTCTCAATCATCAACAAGGGACATCTGAATCATTTTGATTTGAACAGTTCCTTGAATATTTGAAAGAACACTAATTTATTTCAGTTAAATGTAGAATGGATATACCAGTGAAAAATAAGAGCTTATTGAATTTATGTATCAATCATAAACAGTCAATTAGTTAAATGTCTAAATAGTTTTGAAATAAATCTTTGGTGATCATAGTAATATACTTAATTATATACTTTGAGAATGAAATAAATTGTTTCTTAAATAATACAGTGAATAATACACTGATGTACAATTTAGATTGTCATTCAGTCAATTAAGAATCGATTCTTGCATTTGATATCAGAATTATGTAAAAATGACAGATGGATTAAATTGGACAGTTGCTTTGAACTAGTTTTAAAAGAATTCGATGCACTATATATGAGCATAATATTAACACCATGAAACACTCTTGATCTTCGTAGTTAATAATTAACTATATATGAAAGGTATCTAAAGTAATCAGCTTCCTTCCTTCCTTCCTTACTTACTTACGCCTGTTACCCCTTGTGGAGGAGCATAGGCTGCTCAATCAGCGTTTTTTTAGCGAGTTAGCTTTTCTACGGGATGGGGTCGCTAACCCCATGCCCAACCCTCCTCCTTTACCCGGGCTTGGGACCGGCAGTAACTCTAGAAGAGCTACAGGCGGAGTTAATCAGCTTCCTACCCTCTTTTATTTATTCTCTGACTTTAAAAGCAATCCTTTACTTATATTCCCATTGGTATATGGAAAACAGAAGACAGGGATTATTATTCAGATGTATGATTTCAGAAACATTTTGACTCTATTAATGTTCCACAATATAAGAAATTGTAATATATTTTTCCTTCATGTTCAATTAGAAATCTTATCGGTACCAGAAAAGTAGACCAGAAAGTTGTGGCTTGTCTATATATTTTATTCCCATTTATATTTCAATCAAGCATTTAGTCTGTTTATTTGTTCTTAAAAATTCATATAAATTACGTTTCCTGACTAAATTTTAAATAAGTAATACTATTAAAGCCGATCATATTATTATTTGGTTCAGTTCCTCTCTTCGTTCCTCATTTGACTTTTGTAATGCAACTCCTTTTAAAAATAAGAACATCCAGGAAAATTCTCAAGTTAACTATAAAAAAATACATCTTCGATATGTTTGCTGAAAATGATTTGGGTTTTCCTTTTTTTGAATCTCTCATGACTATTATATTGGTGAATATTTTCTATTCTGATAATTGTTTTTATCATACCATCTTATGTAAAATCAAACAATAATATACATTTTATTATGAGTATAGGGTTGTGGAGATTGTTGAGTTTTGATTGAGATCATGTATCGATCAACGTTAGACCACCATTGAAAACGTAGAAATATTAGAAAACCATTTCGTCCTCATCAGTATACATCCACGACTCTGCACATGGTCATGGATTCGGATCCCACGTAATGGGTCTAACATTGATCGATTCATGATCTCAGTCAAAATGCATTTTATTGTTGATTAATTAGTAGTAAACTGGGCAACTTATCTTTTGACTAAAATTATTTTTAACTCCATTAACCTTATCTGTATACATAACATACGTTACTAATAAAGCCTGTTTCAGACTATCTAGTTATTTCACATATACTTCATTTAAGTAAGACAATCTCAAAGTTATGAGATCGCATTTGTAACAAGTCATTTATATTATCAAAATAGAAGATAACTATAACAGAAGATAATGCTAGAACTTTACAGATAGCAGTTCTAACTAACAATAGGAGGATACAAGTTACCAACATCAAGTAAATTTAAAACTTCACCCCATTGCACAAGCAGATGGCTATCAGGACTCAGTAGCTAAGTTGATAACGCGGTAGTGTTTGAACCAAACAGTAATGGGTTCGAGTCCCAGAGTGAACATCAACTCTGAGACTCAGGTACATCCAGCTGACGGGTCCCAAATGAGACGAAACACTCGTACTGAATTCTACTGCTAGCGATTATCTATCTTTGCTTTACAGACAACAGTTCTTTATAAATATCTTAATGATTGAAAGATGCTTTTATTGAAGAAAATCGTTACAAATACAAAATTTATTAATTCCATATTTTCATGTACTTTCCACATATAATCCTGTTGTTTATATTATAAGTAATCAAATGAACAACAGTTCCCGTATTACTTGTATAAAGTAAACAAAATTTTATGTTTAACCAGTTTAAAGAAAGTTACCATTTATTTAGAATTACATTAAATTGTATAGACATTTGAAAACTATTATTATTATTTAAACATAAATATTGGTACAAGGAGGGCATCAGATATATATGCACCGCCCAAATCTCATTTCATTTGTGTGAAGGTTGTGATACTGCTCAGGTGCCCAAACTCAAGCAGGTGGTTTACTCAGGGGTCCACACTCAGAACCTTCGACCTAAAGGTCTGATCCACAAAGCAGTGGAGCATCGTGAGGAGATGCAGTCCCATGGTAGCCGGTGACCAACGATTGATCCATAAGCCATTTGTTCCCTCAGGATAGTGGAGTTCATGTGCACCATCGGTTTGGAATCAGGGTTTTCCAACTCTCCTAGGTGAACTTTCCGTGTCCACCAACCCAGTCAAAGAGCCGAACAGTCGCTTTTCGTCCTCTCAATTTCGTAGACAACATCCCCGCTACGAGAAGGCAGTGAGTAGTACTTTCCTGGCAGAGGCTATGTGATAACATTTCGAGTGGGAGAGCGGATTCTCCCCACTCTCGGTCGTACCAGGGCATTTGGGGTCACATTTGAAAACAAGTTCAGTACAATACTATGCAATAATATGTAAACAAATTTTTTTTAAATATTTTCGAAAATATTTCACTTATATAACAAACTGTTTACATTCAGCAGTAAAACAGGTATCAAATAGAAAGAAAAAAATTAATTTGTATCTATGTAAAATTAAGAAAACAGATTTAGATCGTACCTTTCTTGTTTTGTTTTTTTAATTCCAATATACATAGATATACGCAATTGGTTCTGTCATTTCTTTTTCTTTTTTTCGTAATTCTTAAATGAAGATGAATATTTTAATACACCTATATATCAACTTACATATACAAACAGAACATATAAACAAATATATGTATATCTATATCAGTAATAAGGTGTCAAAATATCGAAATCAACCTACATAGTTGAAAATGAATGTGGTATGCTGAAATGATTTTTAAAAATAATAAAGAATAAACATTAATAATCGATCATGAAAATGTTGGTTGATTTACATGATTTGGTATGATAATATAGAGATTGTTGAATTTCATGATCCACCTCACAACAGAATGATCTTTGTTAGTTAAGAACTGAAAATATAGGATCACTGAACAAGTGTTTCATCCTAGTATAAAACTCCTTAGGGTTATACATTTACTACCTTACCATGGATCGAGTCTGAAACCTTCAGATCTTGATGAGAGCTTTTAACCTTTGGAACAATGACTTTGAGTTCACTGATTAATACGTTTATTTTCGATCAATTCACGATAATGATTGACCATCATCCAATCAGCGAATGCTAAATCAATGATTATACACTTACTGAGAGATCTGAAGGTCCTAGATTCGATCCCTATTGGGGTTAACTGAATATGAGCCCTTGTCCACCATCATGTTAGGATGAAATGTATGTTCAAAGGCTCCTTATTTTCAGTAGTTGTCTAGCAAAGATTATTCCGCTATGTAAACTATGAAATAATATTAATTGTCGTCATTATTGTTATTATCTATTTTTTGTCATTAAGGAAGAATGAAATAAACTCAGGTCGGTCTGTTGTTGATAACCTTCTAACCATCTAAGTGAACTACTACCCACAAACCATATAGTTGGTTATCTTCTGCAGTTATCTAGGGTGTATTAATAACTTTAAGTGTGTCTGCATTCAAAGATGGTAAACATAATTCTGGTGAATTGAATGTGCCGTGTAGAACAATTAGTTATTTCTGGTAGATTAAGAAGTCAAATCCAAAGTAAAACATTACAAAAGATTAACATCATGTTTTTCATCTATGTAATCATATATCATTTTTACTATTAAAAGCTGTATTCTTAGAGATAATCTGACGTTAATTTATTTATAGAATAAATAAGGTATATAGTTACAGCTTAATTACATTATTACATTGTAAAATGCACTAGGAACTATTTCTTTTTGTTACTATCACGTAAGACAGATATGACTTCCCTTTATCTATTGATTAAGGAAATGAAAATTTTCATTTTTTGTATTATATCTGTATATAAGATTAAGTTGCCATCGTTTTCTGACTTCAATACGCAATTCTTCTATTCAGGAAAATGCTAACCGACTTACGAGAATCGAGGAATTAGAGAAGCTAGAGACCGTAAATAGATATTTGCATCTGCATCAAAGAACTATATCACAGTAAACTAGTTTTTTGACAGACTTTACTTAGAGTGAATAATAATACCTTGTATACTTTTAACTTTGTAACACTCTCAACTAATTAATCAATAACTTACATCATAAGTATGAGTTACATTCTGAATAACATTAACTACATAATACGTTATATGTTTGTTTTAATTCGTGACATTTTTATTCATGAATACTAAATTAGATCAAAACAAAACTATTATAAATAGTTGAAATAATGAGTCAATTGAAGCTAGACCACCATCGAAAACCTGGAAGCACTGGACGGCTGTTTCGTCCTATTATGGGATGACTCATCCACGATCCCGCCTCACGAGATTCGAACCCAGGATCTACCAGTCTCACGTCAGAGCACTTAACCGATTATAAGTTTGAAGT